CGATAAAATTATTCCTAAAATTACTGGTATCCACAGGCTACTCTCTTTGGCTGCCTGCTGAATCTCTGCATCTAATTTTAGAGTAACTAGCTTTGTTTCTTTTTGCTGTAGCAAATACTAAACAGACATTATTTGCTGGAAATTTGTCTTGACTTAATGAGTAAGTTTCATAAGTACTGGTATGTGTCTTAATATTTCTGCTATGATAATGCTCATCAAAATACTAGCTGCACCGCTAGCTGGGGACAGGCTGCTGAAAAGAAACTGTCACTTTTTTTTCTAAACAGTGAGTTTTTGGCTTTTCTCCTATAGCCATCCAGTATTTTTAGGTTTAAAAAATGCAGGCAAAACTGCTCCTTCTCCTTTCACCTCTTTTTTCCTCAACAAAAAAATCAGTCAAAACAAAACAATCATAAAGGATGTTTTCTGTTTGTCACCTGCAGGGAATTTATCTGTCAATTGAAATAGATTTTTTACACTGGCTGTTACAGGTATGGGAATGCTGGTTAGTACTGTGAGGGACTGTTTAGATGCTTAATCTCTTGAGAAGCTCTATCACTCTATCTGACTTCAGTGAGGAAAACAAAATTCAGGCCATGATCTGCTTAGGAACTTTGTGTTTTATAATTGTTTACTGGAGATCCTGAGAAAGATTTATGAAAACTAATCCAGACTGTAACTGTACTAATTGTACCAGATTCACTAGGACAAGAGAGTGGATATGTGTTTACCCTCTCAGAATTTTACCTTCCCTAAAAGATAACTCCAAACTCTTTCCTTTTTTTTAAAAAAAAAAAAAAAAAAAAGTCCAAACATTTGTTTCATCATTAACCATCCTTAGGTGCAGAGGCAAACTTCAAGATACATATGCTAATTGTAAAAAATAATTACCTTCATTTATTTTAGTCTTTCTCTCTCTTCTTTTGTTTTTTATACATGAGGTTAGCTGTGAAGCTCTCCATGTACACCCCAGCCACCCCTCTTCTGCTCCTTTGCCCCTACATGAAATAAAACTTCCCAGGCAAATGCTGGGGCATAATTTTTCAGCAACACTCAAGCCCTCAGACCTCAGCAAGTTCAGGTGTTGCACTGGGTGTGAGGTTTGGAAATTCACATGTTAGTCCAAGTATTTTCTTATTCTGAAAGGAAGACCTTTTGTGGTGTTTGACTTGAACATCATTATTATTCAGACTAGCTACAGTGCCAGTTCAACAACTTACATATCCATAGGAAATGTGATATTTTGCTGCAACATTCTTCAGTGCATCTGCTGGCACCTAACCTACTGACTAAAAGAAAAATCTACTGGATTGAAAATAGTATACTGTTTTTTCCCTTAGGAAATACAGAGCCTATGGTTCTGTAGATTTTTCTCTTTATTATTTTCTTGATGTCATAAGCATCCTGTTTCTTGGGATAGTACATGAGTCAGAACTATTTTCCTAGCCTTTGCAAACAGGCAGATTGCCGAGGCTGTCTTGGTTACACTAAGGAAAAAGGGGAGTAGCTGGAATTCTGTGTTTCACTAGTGGTCACAGCTCAGAAACAAACCTCTGTAGGCTGCCCGAGCCAGCTAAGTTAGAAGAGTCCTGCTGCTGCTGAAAATATACCCCAGAGCTCAGAAACACCAATTGTCTGACCCAGCAGTGAACAGAGCATGAAAGTTAACACATATACATTGTTCTTCCTCTGATGCTCTCTCTGACCCAATCACTCTTTACAGAAACAATGTGCTTCATCTTCGATACTTTACAAAGTAAGTAACCAAGTGGTGAAACTCATGAACAGCTTTAGGTTTTGGTGTTTTATTGTTTTGTTTTGGGGCTTTTTATACAGAAAGGTGTTTTCTTCTCTTTTTTTTTTTTTTATGTTTGTTTTCCCCCTCCCATTTCTGTTGCATTTAAGTGGTAGAACCTTTTCACTAGTCATATATAGTATCAAATATTGTAAAGCAAAATAAATTTTAGAAGTGCTAAATATGATATCAAAGCTATGCATTTGATTCTATTACGAGATTAAACATGCTACTGTGGATCTCAGGGTGCCATTAAAAATATTTTCCATAGAAAGAATGCAATTTTTTGCCATTGTAATAAAGGGGATCCTGAAGTATATTCAGCGCACACTTCTGTAAGAGATAAAACAGTTTTCATTTCAACAACCACTCCTTTCCTCAAAATTGCAGCCTAACTTGCAAAGGTTGGTTTAACTTGTACAATCAAATCATTCTATATATGTTGTATATTATATATCATTCTATATATTTTAATATATAATCATTCTATATATTTTAATCATAAATACCTTTTTCTTAAATTTGCAGTTCTTGATTGGTAAAGTACATCTGAAGAACAGAGCAATGGTACTTTCATCTGTCTGAATAAGTGGAAAATTCTCACAGTCTCCATCAACTTTCTGCCATAACAGCCATTTGGAAACTGTCTAAAGAAATTAAAAAGTGGAACTGCTCAGGAAGTGTGAGACTGCAGTGATCCTTTCCATCCTTATGCAGCCATTTTCTCTGTTCCCCATTCTGTACTTTACATTAACATCTACCATAAAGCATGATGTTGGCTTAAGTATTGGTAGGTCTCACTGCTTTGTGAATTGCAACACTGTAAACCAGCAGTCTCATAAAGAGTGTGGTGTTCAGAAAAATGAGGAAGCTATAATCCTCATATAGCTTTTACTGCATCTTTCATTTGGGTTTTTAGGGAAAATCAGTGAAAGTGCTAATCAGAGATTCAAAAGCTGACTCAGGTCCTAACATCTTGTAGATCTTTAACAAAGTAGAAAGATGAAAGAAAAGATAGGTCTTTTTAAGTGTGTTACAACTGACTCTTTTATGGGAATCTGGTTTTATACCAGTATTATGACAGAAGAGAGACTGTTATGAAGCCCAGTGTTGAATAGTTACCCTCCCAATATTCTCTGATACTGCTTTTGGATGACCAAAGCTGGCATCATGATCCATTAGAAGAGGACACTGTGCATGCAGTGTATCAAAAGAGACTAGAAAACAGACTTTATATCATTGTGCTGGTTCGGGCTGAAGTGGAGTGAGCCCCATACCAGCCACGGTGAAGAAAGTTATATTTAGGATTTGTGCAGAACACAGGGTTGATAATGTAGAGATGTTTTTGTTGTTGCTGAGCAGAGCTTACACAGAGCCAAGGCCTTTGCTGCTTTCTCTGTACTGCCATGCTGGCAAGGAAGTTGGGCCTGCATGGGAGACTGGGAGGAGACACAGCTGGTTCAGGTGACCCAAACTGACCAAAGGGATATTCCATATCATATGACATCATGGTCAGTACATAAAGTGGGAAGAAGAAGGAGGAAGGTGGGGCATCTGGAGTGATGGCATTTTTCTTCCCAAGGAACCATTACACGTGATGGGCCCTGCTCTCCTGGAGATGGCTGAACACCTCCTGTCTGTGAGAAGCAGTGCATTAACTCCTTGTTTTGCTTTGCTTGTGTGTGCAGTTTTTGCTTTCTCTATTAAACTGTCTTTATCTCAACCCATGAGCTTTTCTAGCTTTTACCTTTCTGATTATCTCTCCCATCCCATTGGTGAGGGAGTGTGTGAGTGGCCGCATGGTTCTTGGTTGCTCACTGGAGTTAAACCACAGCAACTAGCAGTCTTTAATCAAGCTGAGACAGTATGGCATTTGGTTGAAATAAGACTGTACTTTATTTAAAAGCTTTTAAAAAGCAAGTATTAGAACATACAGTTTAGAATTTTAAAATTTCTCCTATACTTTATGCTCATAAAATAATGATCTCTGGAAGTCATTAAAAAGAGTAAGGAAGCTATTTGTTAGACAACATGCAATGACATAAAGTGCTGTAATAATTCTTTTTATGCTATATAAACAATTATCCCCATTAAGTGTGCAGATTTTTTCTGCCTATTGTTGAACTGCTACTAAATATTTCACAAAATTTGTTTTGTCTTCAGAATTTGACATGCCAAACAGCCAGATTAACAAATGAAAGAGCATCATAGATTATGACCAAAAAAAATCTCAGCAGCAATGTTTTGTTTGGAAGTCTTTCTTCTGCTTCAGTTTATTTCATTTTATGTTCCATTAGGAAGATCCTCTGCAGAAGAGCTGTTTTTTCCTTCCAACCACTGTCAAGTCTTCACTTATTAAAATATATAAGAATATTCAGAAGTATATATAAAATGTAAACTAAATTTAAAAAATGTTATTGCCATATTTTCTCTCTCCAGACACAACATCTTTATATATTGAGTCATTTTTGCCATGTTTCATACCACGTATTATTCATGTTCATTTAGTATTAAGAAAAAAGTATCAGATTCAGTACTTATATACCAAAGTTAAGGTAAAACAGATTTCAGTCATGTTCTGCAGCTTATTTACTTAGCTATTTGTCTCAAGAAGTAAAAAGTGGTTAGTGAATAATAATGATCAAGTTAGTAAATATACAAGACATATCTGAATACAAGTATCAAATATATAAAACGTTATTCTGGATAACTACATAAAAATACTGGTAATTAAACTTATTGTTTTCTCATACAATAGCTTGTATAGACTGTCCCTTAGTAGCTTTTTTGTTTGCTTCATTAAAGCTTCATTTTCCCAGATAAGATCATCTCATGTACTTCTTTGGTTAACAAGACATATGCTTTCTTAGAATTATCTAGAAAATACAGAGGATCAGTAATTTGGATTAAAAAGTATTAAGAAAAAAGTATCAGATTCAGTACTTATATACCAAAGTTAAGGTAAAACAGATTTCAGTCATGTTCTGCAGCTTATTTACTTAGCTATTTGTCTCAAGAAGTAAAAAGTGGTTAGTGAATAATAATGATCAAGTTAGTAAATATACAAGACATATCTGAATACAAGTATCAAATATATAAAACGTTATTCTGGATAACTACATAAAAATACTGGTAATTAAACTTATTGTTTTCTCATACAATAGCTTGTATAGACTGTCCCTTAGTAGCTTTTTTGTTTGCTTCATTAAAGCTTCATTTTCCCAGATAAGATCATCTCATGTACTTCTTTGGTTAACAAGACATATGCTTTCTTAGAATTATCTAGAAAATACAGAGGATCAGTAATTGTAGATGGATTAAAACCTTCATCCACAAGTCGAAATTTTTGCTGTTTGAATGTTCCAGTGATTTCCATTTTCTCCTGTAGAAGAGAGAAAGATATATTATTCAAAAGAGAAGCTTCTTTTCTTTGGCTCACATTCACACTTCTTTTTCAAAATCTTGCTTGATACAGGGTTAATACTGTTTATTCTCATTACACTGTAAAACTAGAACTTGTGTGCTGCTACAGACCATTACAAGGAGACATAGTGGACAAGTTAGACCCTGTTGCTTTCTGCATCCCTGTGCAGTGGATCATCAGTGGTGTGGTCCCAGCCTGCCTGAGACAATCAGTCTTCACTGGAGCACATTAGAAAACTGTCATTATCACCTCCTTAATGATAAAACTCAGGAAATTCTCTGTATGTTTTATTGCTGTCCCCTTAAAAAGGGGGTTGAAAGAATCACGTACTATATCAGCCATACTCATATTCAGCCAGGTCCAAATGAAGCCAAATCTCTACTACGTATTTTATGTTTTCAGGCTGCTCTTCAGTGCCACAGTGTCCCTTGGAAAAGCAGTGGGAGGCACCCCTAGTGAGACTCTCTTCTATATTCTCCCTACCTCTACTCAGCCCAACTTTACGACCTCTCTCCATCATCTTCTTTTCTGTCTTTATATTTTAATATATATGCAAACAATCTCTGAAAATGAAAAATTAATTATTATGTCCAACAAAAACTTTAAAAAGTCATTGTATCTACTCCAGGTATATCTCCAGATAGTATCTACCTGCTCTGGTTGGTCTAAGAAACATTCTGACATCTTCTAGGGTATTATTATATGTCAGATCAGCTGAATAAATTTTTTTTAATGTATTTGCCTTTAAATTCCCCCAGTACCATCTTTCTTGGTTAACAACAACTGTACCAATAACAATTCATCTGTAATGCAGGCATTTAAATTTTAATCAAAATTCCAGGTATTAGCACTACATCCAAGATTCAGATTTCTTCTGCACAGCATAAAGGCTTCTTAGTACATCTGTACAGCAGAAAAACTAGACTAGGTTCTCAACATATCATAAACTGACTACTGCAACATTCTCAAGTCTAATCTTGCTTGCTCATATCAGAATGTTGCTGTTAAAAGGCATCTTCCTGAATATGAGATAGATAGATAGATAGACAGACAGACAGACAGAAGGACATAGATTTCAATTTCAAGGTCCTTCACAGACTTTTCCTTTCCTCCTTTATTCTGCATCAGTATTCAACCTCTGGTTGGTCCAGTGAATCAACTTCCATAACTTCTTTCTTTAAACAATGATTACTTCTTTCATCTGCTCCTCAGAGTTAGGAGACTCCTTCATAACACATTCAAAAACTTTTTTCTGTTTGCCTTTGGTCATCAGACTTCAATTATTATGATTATCAGTACTGGATGCTTTCTATACTCTACCATTTTTTCTAGCCCTATGTATTATTTTTACATTTTTAAGGATTCACTATTTTTTCCCCAAGCTGGACAGTTACTAGAGCAAAGTAATACACAAATAGGGATGACTTTGATGATTACAGTGATGGCAACATTTTGAATTCACCTTTTCAATTTACCTACTGTTTTTTCAAAGGCTTTAACTTTTGTCATTACACAGAAAATAACATTTGATTTATTGTGCACAGTCAGTACCTCCTGCTTTAGCTCTACTTCTCTCTTCTCTCATTTCCACTGAATAAAATGGATTTTAGATTATTTTCTCCAGAAGCAATTGTTCACATTTTTTTAATCTGAATCTTTTTGTTTCACCATGTTCATGCTTCTAATCTCCCTAAATCCTTTTGTATGATCTCTGTCCTTACTCACTCACACGATTTCTCCCATTTAGACATAATCTGCAAATTTATTGACTTTTCCTGTAATCCCTTTCCCAGGACTACATTAATGAAGACAGCAAATTGGACCAGGTCTAAAACTAATCAAGTGACACATGAACAAACACTTTCTGTTATTCAGAAATCTCTGTGTTTAAATGATGTAGAGGTTTGAATGCACAGTGTAATAATGCAGCTTACCTGGACTCTTAAGAACAGGGGACAAGCATAACTCGGTAGATAGGTCACTACTTGTTTATACATTTGCTCCAAGTCTAA